TTTTGAAAATATAAATACATTATTACAAAAACAAAAATACACAAAAACGCAGTTTTTTCAAACATGTCAAATGGTATAAATAAAGAAGTTCAACAATTGTTGAGAAAAAGTTTGCTTCTTTTTTTATAAACCGTTACAACTGCAAAATTTCGTAAAAATATTATCGTATATCTTTTGGTCATATAATTATTTTTCAAAATATATCTTTTCTACAATGAATCTGAGTTGTTATCAACGCGCTTTAATGTTGAGTTTGATAAAAACCGTATTAATATGTTGTACTGTTTTACAAATAATACTAAATATTACTATTTCTGGTAAGACCAAACAAAGGAAAATAGCGTCTATTGGCAAAGAAACAAGAAACGAACTGAAAAAAATGTGGTAAATTGTTATGAATATTATTTGATTGGTGATACAATGAAATTTAATGGTGAAGGCACCATGTCTTTGTATGGAAGATTTCTTACAAAACAATTTGAAATAAAAGTTGTTGAAATAAAAATGTGTGTATTTTGGGGAGCCGGAAATGCTTAAAAATGACCAATTGGATTATGTTAGTACTCAAAGACACAAAGATACCATTAGATTTACTCAGGGTATTGTTGTGATGGGGTGGATTTTGGACTCAGCTTTAATAATGGAATAACTGGTATACCTGCACGCAAGTAAACACCAAATTTAAGACCATTATATAATCACAATTATTATTTATCTCATAGATTCAATGTTGCGACAGAAAGGACCTTTGAATTTGGAGATATGGTAATGATCAAACAATTTTTAGTTAAAATGACAACAAAATTAATCATAAAAAGATGGAAAACCGAACTTCAAAAAGCGGATCTTTAGAAAGCCTTGTTAAAAATTCCTCAGTATTCCACCACACGTTTCCAGTTTGTTTTCCTTATCACAAACATGTTGTTCGAGTGTTTTTATCCGTTACAAAACTTTTTTGATGATGTTCCCTTGGGGTTTGTTCTTGAAAAGAAAAATGAGAACAACCAACAAACAAAAATAACATTCTGATAATTATCTTTAAATGATCTGGTGTTCGTTGGTGCTCTTACATTTGTTGATTATTTTATGACTTCAATGAAATACATGAGTGATTGGATGCAAGAAAGTGATTTGTGTCACATAGTTGTATACAAAAGAATACGCAACTATATAAAATATTTTTACATGGACTTAAACTCAACATTGAGAACGGCCTAATACTATTCTATTCACTACACGTCGACGAGATAACAATAAAAGAAGGACTAGAAGTTTACCACAACTTTTGTCTGAATTTTATTACACGTTTATTTGTGGCTCTCAGTAAAAGGTTAATGTTGCCATAAAACAAACTTAACGTAGACTATAAAGAATTGTTTTCAGTGACCAACTATGAAGACTTCGATAAAAAACTCGAAATAAGTACTTCTAAATTCTTAGCCGATTTCGATACATACTCTTTACAAGTGGACTCACTCACGCAATTTTTCGTAACGAACAAGAAGCACAAAAATGGAAGGAGTCAAACTATAGATGCAACAAAAACCAAACAATCATCTAAAAACTGCAATATGTACAAAACGGAGTTGTATTCAAACCACGCACAATCAGAAATAACGCGGAAGTGGTAAGAGCGGAAAGGAACCAAAACATTGATAGTAAAACTTTATAAAATATTAATTCTTTTTTAAGTTTAAACACTGTTTTTAATGCTTTGAGTGGAAAATTGTCGAATCCAGATTTTATTTGGCATTTGACCAAAAAGTGTACTATTTTTTATATTTCTTTGTGTAAAAACCACATTTAACGATTTACACAAAATGTAACTCATTTTTTGTCTAAATATTACTTTAAAACAGTTTTCAGCGAAAGTTCGAAATTTTATTTAAAATATTGACTTTGAAGTTTATAAATTTAAAAAAATCAATTTAATCTCAATTTCAAAAATTCAATTTTTCATATTATCCCGGGACCTAAATTGACCACCACCACCTCTTAAAATAGATTTATTTTTTCTATTTCGAATCATATTCAAATTAAAATTATAGTAAATAGGTAACTGGGATAATATTAGGTCTGGTTCCCGAATTCAAAAAATGCCGAAAAAACATTTCGAGTTAGTAGCAACCGAGTGAGACGGAGCATTGAAAAGAAGGCTCTGAAGACACACTCAAACAGTCTGTTTGTGCACCGTTTCACCCACTTTCCAAGTCCTCCCTTGGCGCGGATCCCCCCCTGACCCCCCCCCGCAAGCGGGGGGGGGACCACATCCGCGTCCACACAGTACGGACAAGGAAAGTGGGTGACATGGGGACGCACAAACAGTGGCTGAAAAATGGACTTTCTTCAAAAAACACTCGCGGCAAATATTATTTTTTGGTAAAGGTGGTGGTGGTCAATGTAGGTCCCTATTATCCCATTTTTAATATTTTTTTTAATATTATTTATTTATTATTGTTTTTGTTTGATTTCTCGTCTATTTTCAATTTATTTGTTTATGTTTTTTTCTTTTTATCATCTTCTTTTGAATCTTAACAACAACTGTTATGAAATAATTTTTTAATGTTATTTGTTCAAAAACAATCATTGAACTAATGTGCACAAAAATACCACAAAATCAATTCAGGCTTTTATTTTTAAGCTAGTCCATTGTGTTTTTACTTGTTCTTTTTTCCATTTTTTAAACCTTTTTTGAGCTTTTTTTGCCATAAGAAAATACATTTCAAAACGATTTTTGTAAAAAATAAAAGCTATATTTTAAGTTAGTTTTAATTAAAATAAAAAACCATTTCAAATATTTTTTTTCTTCTTGAGCAAATTTGACTTTTTTCTCAAAAAACAAAAAAAGACCCAATCAAACCCATTTACTAATTTATAAAGGGTGGTACTTATTTTTTTCTATTTTGGCTTAAAGTTCAACCAAAGTTTCACAAAATTTACTCACTTAAATGGATTTATTCCAAATTAAGTGGGTTTATACTACCACTGTAGTCAAAAAAAATTGTAAATAAATAATTATAGTAGTGTGATAAAGTGGTTGTAAATGATAAATCCATTGTCGATTTTGGTAGATCTTCCAGAACAAAAATAAGTCAATTTTGTTTTTTACCATCTTTTTATTTTGTATTAAGAAAAAATAAAACCCTATAGTGCATTTTTGGGAATTATAAAAAATGATAATTTTTGACGTATATTATTAGATGATATATTTAAAATATATTATTTTTAAATTTGTTTTCGTAAAAATTAAAATAGAAAACAAAAAAGTTAAAAAAATAATCAATTAAATAGCACAAAAAAGTTTTTCCTTATGATCGTCTATTAAATATCCAACATGTTGTTAACCTTCAGGTTTACTTTTATTTTCATTTTGTTGCGTTTTTTTGTTCTTTCTGGCCATCATACAAATTCTTGTCCGCCTTTTGTTTGTTTCTGGTTGATCTATTTTTTATTCACCATCGCTTTATGGGGTTTTCAATTCTTTTTGAATATTTGTAGTTCTTGTTAAGATTTTAATTAAAAAGATATGAGGTTTAAAAATTAAAATATAAAAATAGATACTTTTTATTAAAGGTTTATTTGATTTAAAAAAAGTAAAATCTAACAATTTTTAGCTTTTTATTAATTTTTTAAATCAAAAAATATCCATATATACAAACAACTTTTAAAACAATTTTTCGTGTATTTAGTTGTTTTAATTAAAAAATCAGTTTAATTTATCAGTTTTATCTATTATTTATATGATTTAATCTGATATTTTTAAATGGTTGTTATGTTAAAAAATGGATGATTTCAAGGTTCCTTATTTTTTCATTTTGTCAAAAAAACTTCAATTGGAACCAGCAATAGATTTAGGGTATTTTGAACCCTTTGATATTTTTCCTGTTTTCATTATGCCTTAGGAAAATAAAAAACTATAAAATTAAAGCCAAAAATAATTTAACAAATCATTTATAATAATTAGTATTAATTAACTTTAAAAAAGAAAAATACTTCGGTATAATTACTTTTAGGCTTTTTGTTGTTAAAAACGGACCTTAATTTGTGTTACATAATGGAATAAATCGGGATAAAAATAACCTTATTCATGAAAATAAAACATTTTATTTTGTATTTTTATTTTGAAAACATTGAAACGACAGGTCTATGTCCCGAAAACAATAATTGTAACCATTAAAAGTAGCTAATTTACAAATAATGTTTTTAATAAATAAATATTTAATGAAAAATAAATAAACGTAACAATAATATTTTACGATTTTAATTTTTTCTGACGTTGCCTTCCGTTGCTCTATTACATTATTTTTTT